CCCCATACATATGTGAGTCCGTGACGATAATAACATGCCACGGGGTACATGTTCGTCAAGGAAAACAGGCATGGTGAAATAGGCCACACCCACCCACGACAGTGAGTCAATCTTTGTAGTCGGACAAAAACTTTTCATGATTTAATATTCAGAGGCGAACTGAGTTGGACAAAAAAAAGTCTTCTTCATTTTTATTTTATCCTTTTCTATTTGTTTATTAGTATTCGTATTCAACTTACTCATGATCGGAGAGATCTATTTATCTTGGTTACCTAGGATATCTTTGGGGAGTTTTTTTTGCTAGTCTTTTTCTTTTCTTTTTTTTCTTGACCGGCGGCTTATTTTTATTTAGACAAATACGTCACTACTGGCTGGCGTGGGATTTGGGATTCCGATTTTTTTTTTCTTGTGCACATGCTCTATTCGTTTTTCTATTTTCTTATTAGCGTACGTAGAGAAGTTTTCTGTTTGATTTTCTTTCGTTGCTTTACAGTATATGAATAGGTTTCGTTTTTTTTCATGGTCTTCTTTTTCCACGTCCCATTGGTTCCGTCACTTCTGATTGGTTTTCAATCCGTTACTTTTTCCCCCTTTTTCCAATTTCCAATATAAATATTAAAAAACATAGGAATCTAGGCTTTCAATTTCTAACTCAATACGTTTTAAAATTGGACTCCGTATCATGCAAGACAAAAAATATATTCTAACTTATCTGAGCACGGGATATATATATAAGTCGGGACGGAAGAAATTCTCTATCGTGCGGTAGTTAGAAAAAGACGGACAAAAAAAAATAGATGGACGAAAAAAATGACCGAAAATTTTGCCTAGGGATAGATTAGATATAGACCTACAGACACGGCTCAAAGAATTCTGACTTCAGCGCGCGGTGTCCACTTCCCCACTCCGACCTCGCCGAACGCACATCTCCGGTGAAGACAACGCCTGGAGACCTGAAGGGATACGGCCCTGGCCTCGCCGTTGCAGCGAAACCGCCCCCTATTCTCCAGCGACTGGAGAGGTCGTGTACACTGTACACGTACAATGCCATCGTTGCCGGGAGACACCATCAGGAGTTCAGGACGGACACCTTGTCGGGATCGTAGGCTCCATCGATGGCAACATTCCGTTCTCCTTCCTCGTGGACGCGGACTCGCAGTCCGTCTTCGTTCACGGTGCCGTTCCAAGCACAGCGATGCGGTCGGCGTGGGAGGCTATCAACTCGACATCCCAAGCCCTGACGTGTGACGCTAATTGTCTGCGAGACGGCGAAGCCCCAGTAGAGCGAAAGCGATGCCTTGCTGGACTTCGTTCATCCTCCACGTGTAGAGAGTAGAGACCAGGTTGGCCGACGAACTGCCCGGTGTCCGTGATTAGGAGGTGGCGATTGAGCCGGTGACCACGGTCACCAACCAGTGACGTCAGGACTTCACTTTGACTTCAGAGACGACCCTGTTTAGATCTACCCTAGCTAAACTTAAAGTTTGGCCAGTAAAGTTTGGCTGGGGCGTTTGGATCCTGTAGCTAATGGGTGAATATAGACCATATTGCCCCTTTCTTCCTAGCGTCACTCGTGCTGTTCTCGAGCTGCCCCAAGTCCCCTGCCCCACCCCGATGGCGCCCTCCTCCACGTGATGGCAGCGCATCCCACAGGATCCGGTGGCGCCCCCTCCTCCACGCGATGGTGCCCAGCGCCCCGCGTCCCACTAGATCCAGCGGCGCCCTCCCCCACCCAGACGGTGGCCATGGTAGCGGCCACCTCGACCGTTGTGTGGTGGATACATGGAGCATGAGGCGAGATCCACTCGCTCGATCGACGGTGGGCCTCTGGTCGCTCCCTCAACATCGATCGATAGCTGGGTCTTCCATGTCGCGCACGGGAGGCGGAGGGGACCTGGGCCAGCACCATCCTCCCCCCAATCCAATGCCATCCTCCCCCAATCCGGCGGCCGTGCAGCGCTTCCTCCACGGCGATGGGTGCCCTCTCCCCCACCCAAAGCTCAAGCAAGCCACATGAGCATAGGAACGTAGGCTCTAGAAGGGTAGGTTGGTCATTGAGGCCTTTTAGCTCGTTTTAGCTAGATTGAAACAACTAATGGGATTGTGTACATTTTAACCTCGAGTTAAAGTTTAGCTGGGTTTAGTTGTGGGTTGTTTGGATCCACCACAGCTAAACTAACTGGTGGATCCAAACAGGGCCTTACTCTGACTTGAGAGAAGGCTTACTCTTCAACTTCAGAGAATACTTACTTAGCCCTGTTTGAATCACATAGTCTAAAGCTTAGTCACTAAACTATATCTATAAAATTCTTGTGTTTCTTATTCCTTAGTTTTATATATGTATCTCTATCATATTCCTGTGCTTTCTCAATGCTGCATTTGAAAGGGGCCCTTGAAAGTGCATCTAGCCCTTTAGTGGGTTTTGGATGATTGAATGACAACGTGATTAAAGGTCTAACCCGTTTGCTAAGTGTGGACAGGAAATAAATTATCTCACATGTACTTAATGAAAGCCAAAAATAATGTATTGTTGGAAACAATATAGTTCAAACACAAGACAACAATGTAAATGTGATTCATGCAAGGCTTACTCAATTATGTGATTTCTATGGCTTATGTGAAAACAAGCATGTTAAAGAACTTTAATGAGACAAAAGGGATTGCATATGGAATGGTCTCACATTCTAAAGCTTGCTACATTGAAAGACATTTATACAAACGATCTAAATGAATGATTCAACACTAGGTGTGACTTGATGGCTTGAGATGATGCAAATAGCAAGTAAAGGTTCGAGGTACTAAGCAAGGGTGAAGGGCAAGCGATGGTTTGACGACTGAGGAACCTAGCTAGGGTGAAGAAGGAAGTACTTGCATTTAGTTGGTACCAACCAAATTATGATGGACACATGGAAGTGGAGAATCAAATCTTGAAGTATTAGTGGAAAGTGACTTGATACATCTGGAGTCAACTCACATTTATTGAGTGCAACCAAGTCACATGCTCAAGATAGCTATGCTCAAGGAGAAAATCAAGATCGATATGTTTGACACCCTCACTTAATGATCATTGAAGTATATGGCACCCTCACTTTATGATCATTGAAGTATATGGCATTTTGGTTCAAGGGAAATCAACTCAAGCGCTTCAATTCCATTTTCGTTTGATCTTGAGTTAAATAGATATGCCATACTATTGAGAGGGATGCATCATGTTGATAGATATTTATTCATAAGTGCTCAAGCCAACCCATGTGAGATTTGAGTGAGAGAGAGCCAAGTGCTAACTCGCTGTGCTGCAGGTCCAAATACCGGACGTGTCCGGTATTGGCCTGGCTACAACATCTTCCCTGGTTTTCTCGGGTTGGTTCGTCAGGAGTTCCAACATAAGTCGGGAGTTCCAGGGGTCGGGAGTTCCAGCAATTGTCGGGAGTTCCGACGCCTCACTGCACCACTGACTTAGTGACCGTTGGTGCTGTGAAGGGTATTGATACCGAACGTGTCCGGTATTCCCCAATGGTCACATAAGAACGACTAGTTTTTCAAAAGGGCTATAAATACCCCTTAGCCTCCACCTTTGGAGGCTGCTGATTCTGTTGACTTCCAGACACGTTTTTGAGCCTTGAGAACACTCTCCAACCATCTCTTAGTGAGTGAGTGATTCAATCTTGCAAAATCCATCTTGTGGGTTGAGTGAGATTCAAATTTGAGAGTAAGCCACCCTTGAGCACTTGTGCATATTGTCGATCTCATGATTTGCATTTGTTACTCTTGGACTTTTTGGTCCTAGATGACTAGGCGTCGCCGGAGAGCACCCAAGAGCTTGTGGTATGCCTCGAAAAGTTTGTAACGGTTCGATTCCACCGCCGTAAGGAAATGAATCAACTAGTGGAAGGAGGAAAAGGAGTTGGAAAGGACTCCGGCTAGAGTGGCCTTGGTGGTCCTCTAGAGCTAACCTTTGCTGGGTCGCTCGCAGCCCCCTCAACGGAGAGTAGGTCTCGACAGAGGGCCGAACTTCGGTAAAACACATCGTGTGTCTCGATCTCTTTTTTCATTGAGTATTTGTGATCCACTTGTGTTGCTTGAGCTTGTAAACATGTTACTACTAAGTGCCAGCAACTTGGTGTGAAAGGAGAAATCGAAAGGATCAAGTTGGGAGCTGATTGGGCAGAACCTGTGTATACCGGACGCGAAAGGATCAAGTTGGGAGCTGATTGGGCAGAACCCGTGTATACCGGACGCGATATTTGTGGACTCTGCTGTTTTTATTCAATCTCATTTCTAACCTTTGTGGTGTAGGGTTTTAGCTCCTGGATACCTTACATATACCTTATTTACTATGTTAGCTGACTCGTGAGGGGTTTATTTCTTTGATTAGGAGAACACTAATCATTTCCGTATTCTAGGGGCATCCTTGGTCCTTTCAGCCCTAGCCCTAGATGAACTGACGAGGAAAACTATGGAAGTTTAGGTAGAGGAGAAAAATATATTCAAACGATTCTTCAACTCGTACCACCGCTCGTCGACACTGTAGGCTAATTTCAGTAAATATAAGAGCAAAATTCCTATGAGCTTTTGTGACCTACAATACAAATATCTACATGATGGCAAAAGCAACTACCTACCAGCTACACCAGTCCATGCAGTAAACAGGGTTCAAATCAATATAATCTAAGGAGGTATCAGTGCAGTAAACATTACACTATTTCAAATCAGTGCAATCTAACCTACTGCACCCCTTGGTGACATATCAGCAAACTACAAATCAAATCAGCTTCGGTGATCAAGTAAGCAGCATATTTTTCATGGAAGAACAAACAAGACCGATGGGTGTTCAACTTTATCTTTCATATAATGCAGAGATAAGGAAAAGGAGCATCGATCATGTAGCGGATCTATTCTGATTACAATATTACTTCAGTTCAAATGGAGTTTGGATGGCAGATAAGATATTACGGTTACTTCTCCACATTACCAGTTGCAACTAAGGATTCGACTGCCGCTCAATTATCACTCATGTGTGTGCTTGCCTCAATTTGCTTGGCAGTCAACAGGGTTCGAACTTCTGTGTCTTGGTCAGCCATATCAGCGGGTGTCTGCCCATAAGTGTTCTCCTTCTTGGGAGATGCCCCAGCCTCGATAAGAAGCTTGACAACATCCAAATGTTCTCCTCTAGCAGCATGATGGAGCGGCTGCACAAGTCAGATACAAAATTTTAATCTTTCTTGCAGTATATAGCTGAAAATATCAGTTTGAGAATGATGGAAAGATTTGTGAGCTTACTGTATCGCCTTCAGAATCAACAGTGTTTAGCATTCTCACTACGCAACCATCCTTGTTGGCAGCAAAGTTGAGAATATATTGGACCATCTCAGTGAAGCCTGTACCAAAAAATGTTAGGCAAGAAAATAAAAAAGAACAATCACTAAAGGCATAAAGCTATTGTATGTCCAAAAATACACACCTCCAGCACAAGCATCGTGAAGAGGAATAGCGCCTTCTTCATCTTTGCATTCCAAGCTAGCTCCACGTTCCAACAATAGTTGACGAGGTGGGCACAGTTAGTTACAAATAAAGAGAATAAGGGGAAATAACAATAAAACAACTTCAACCTGCACACAAGGAAGATGACCATATAAGCATGCCAGGTGGAGCAAAGTATCACCATCTTCAACTGGAACATCAATACTGCCATCATGATTATCTGCATAAATAAAAACAGCAAAGCATAAGTGAAGAGTTCACCAGATAACCAAATATGCACAACTTTCTTTCCTGTTGCCAAGCATGCACTTGAAAGTAAAGAGGCACAAAAAAAGGGAAAATAAAGTTCAAGGGCAGCTAGCTTTGATACATTGAAGGGAAGTTTAGTGTAGGAAGTCATCAAGTATATATAGGAACAAGATTTAAATTAACATGTACTGACACATTCTGCTGGTTAGCATATATGTAAAGTATGGTAACTCAAATTGATATATTTGATCATTAAATATTACATCAGTATAAAATTATGTTAAGATGGGTACATGGGCAAATATATTGAATTACCAAACCATAACTAATCATGCATTCGTAGATATTCCCAAAGAATGCTTACAAATATTGAAGAAAACTGAAAAATACTGAACAATCGGACTATCCTATGGAGACAAAAAAAAGTTCATGGAGATGCACACAGCATGTGTACCAAGCAAGTATACTTAACAAACAAGCTAACAGATACACAAACAAGCTATCCCTTCAAACTTTTTATTGGTTCACAAAGAAACTAAACCAGCCACAAGGGCCCTTTGAATATAAAAAAAGGTCTATTACTCTATTTTTCCCCAGCATAGGATGTTAGTAATGATAAAAAAATAAAGAGGAGGAATCATTATCTTCTTCTGCATTGCACTAAGCATGTAACCATCTAGTGTTTCTATATCCATAGCGGCACTAAAGTGCCGTTGAACTGCGACAGCATTTTGCTCTGAGATGAAAACTGATGGAACACTGAGTGGACAAGAGAACAGAAAACAGTAGCCATAAGCAGATGACTGGCGGAGCCACACATCAGCCAACCTGAGCTGTGCCCACACATCGCTGGCCTGTGGCTGCTCCCTCATGACCATGCTAAGCTAGTAGCTGCCCTGCTGGTTGCGGGACTAGGGAGTGTTATTGCTCAGAGATTAGGAAAAACCAAAGAAATTTATTTTGGACTGCACACCAATGTGCGCTTATTCTGCTCACAGGGCAACACACAAGCTGATCCACGTGACCACATGGATTAATTTCCACACGCAAGCCGCATTCTTGTCTCTACAGGGATATAAGTTCATACTGCACTAAGCCACTAAGCTAGATGTTCGAATAGAAATAGCACCATATTTGCAGCAATACCACAGAAAGTAGCAACTGACAAGTGAAATTCAATACAATCACGGACATAGTTCGAATCTGAAGGCACCATCTATTCGACCATAAAAAATCAACCAAATTTTGCAATATGCGTAACCTTATCTAATCATGTGATCTCACAGAGCCCTAGAAGTGCTCCAATAAACGAGGATCGCAAAAGGATGGGACGGATCAAGCCAGTACCGAGGGCGGCCACGAGGGCGGCGACGTCACCGGTCTGGGCGGCGCTGGCGAGGGCGCGAAGGTGGGGAGGCACATCCTCATCGTCGGAGGCGCCGCTGAAGGCCTCGGCGTGTTCGGCCATGTCGCCGTCCTCGTCCTTGAGGCCGTTGCGGCCGCCGGGAACTGCCATCTGCTGCGAGGACTGCTTGGGATTGGTTCGGCGAGCGTTCGAGATGGTGAGCAGAAGGGGAGCCCTTTTGGCGGCGGCTTTGGGACTTTGGGTCAAGGGCTTCTGGCGGTCAGGCGGGGCGAAAAAAAAACCTAGCTGCCGGCTGAAATGGGTGAATATCGTGTCCACTATTGAGCATGGTCGTGTGTCCTTGGATGGATTTTTTTTGACCGAATCCTTGGATGGAAAACTGATGGCCGATATCGTGTCCAATGATATTATTCACCCATGCATATGTAAATTATTAACAAAAAGTCCAATCTACTATTTAACAAAGAGATCTCTTTTTTGTTAGAAAAATATTCTCATTAGATGTGCTAGCCAATGAAAACCAACGATGAAATATCCATAACGTGTTTTTCTAGCATACTCTATGTGTCCTGTAATTTGGTGTATTATAGAGATTCAGGAAAAGTTAAGAGAGAATACAAAAAAGTTTGTGTTCTTGCTTCATTTTAGGATCAAACGCTATCATTAACGTAATTAATGAATATTGGCTGATAAATAGCAAGTATCGATGTAGTACCTACCAAATTTGTGTGACTGTTTAATGCAAAGTGTCTCTTGTCCCCTAAAATCTCTTATATGTGAGTTTTGCTAACCCAGACATTCGGACACTCGTGTCTGCTCTGTTTCCCGTGTGTAGTGAATGGACGGTGCTGACCTCGGCTTGCTGCGGGGCCACCACGTGGGCATCGCGCCGCCGTCGGCCCAACCAGGGCCACCACCTCTGCGGGCGTCCGCGTGCTCATCAGGTAGGGTTTTCCCACGCGAGCTCGAATTGCCACGGCGAGATGGAGGGAAGGGAAGGGAGGGGAGGGAGAGGAGAGGCACGAGGTAGGAATCGAAGCCCTGTGGTAGGTCGCTATCCGCCGGCCACTGTCGCCATTGCAACATGTTCAACACCCGATCTATTTTTGAAACGTTTAGATGAAACATTTGCAACATACGTCTTAAGACAGATAAAAACACTTGAACATATGCGTCTGAAACACATGCAAAAACACCTAAAAAACACTTGAAAAGTCATTGCAAAACATATGCAAAATCCAGATAAAACACTTGCAACATATGTGTAAAGCATATGCAACATCCAAATAAACACACTTGCAACATACGTCTGAAGAAACAGATAAAATATTTAGAACATCCACTCGCAACACACGTGTATAGCCATTGCAACATATGCAACATCTCGATCTACTTTTGCAACATTCATATGGAACACTTGCAACATACCTCTAAAATACTTGAAACATACACTTGCAAAATATGAGAGTCAGGGGGACATCAACGGCCCAGCGTACACCCAGGCGTAGGCACAGGCCTCCCCAGGCGCAGGCGCATGCCTCCCCTACCTCCCCTTCCGCGACAGGCGAGGTGGATGGGGGCGCGAGTGCGGCACCGTCACGCTGGAGAAGGCGCGGCGGGCGGGTGTGCTGCCTACGACGAGCGGCCCCACGCTGAAGAAGGCGAGCGGCGCTATCTTTTCTTTTTGAGGAAACGGACTGAAGCAGTGAGGCGCAATGCGGGCGCGCACTGAAGTAGCGAGGCGGAGTGCGGGCGCACAATGAAGCAGCAAGGCGGAGTGCGGGTGCACGATGTCCGGACGGACGCGTCCTATCATTAGCGTATATGTGAGTTGAATTTTTTTATCAGGACGAACGAAGTAGTTACAATATCTACTATCATCCTGCGCGTTTTGAACTTTATAAACTCAACTTGTATGGGGAGGGGGAAATCCTAATAAGAGGTAGATCAGATTAAACTAAAATATTCAATTAAAGACCTGCTTTGTTGGCTTTCAAAATATGCCAAGTCAATAAAAATTTGGCAAGGCATGTTTTTTTTGTCATTTGGTTTGCTAGCAAAACTTGTCAACCTTTTACATTGAACTTGCCAAATCTATGGCAAAATTTTTTGCGTAACTTTTGCTTGCCAAATCTTTGGCATGGCAAATTTTAACCATAAACCAATCAAGCCCCAAGTATATATATGGATTAATTTAGGTATTTATCTAGGCAATGTCCATGTACATGGGAGTAATTTGGACTTTTTACCTTGCTATATCTGAAGTTTACTTAGCCAAGCCCTAACATGATTCGGGCCAAGTACTGTGACAACATGATTCGGTCCAAGTATATGCAGCCACACATAAATCCCGGTCCATGAACAGTGCTATCCTTCCGGACCACGGCCCATGGGCGCTAGTGGAGCAGTGGAGGTACTATAAATACTACAGTACGGTATTGCAGCTGTACTCCTCCCCTCGCAGTACATCATCAGCGTTCTCCAGGAAGAGCGCTCATGGCTGAGAAGGTGCTGCCTTGTTCTATCTCCGATCTCTCTGCTTTTCTTGTTGCTGAATGTCTCCTGCATGATCTCTGATCTCTGTGCGTTTCTTGTTGCTAAATGTCTCCTCTCCTGCATGTTTTTATCTACTTGATTTGATGATCATTCATTAGTGTTTCCATGATTTTGGTTTACTTGGTTTCTAGCTAGCACCACTTGCATCGACACACGCACGCAGAGTAGTTTACTATAGTATCATGCAGGTGTCCAGGACGATTTTTTTTTAATTTTAACCCTTTTTTGAATATAATTTTAAATCTAACACTGTCGGTTTTTTTTTAAAAAAACTAACACTTTTGGCCGCGCCTATTGCCCTGGCGCGGCCAAATGCATGTGCCGCGCCATGCATGGCGGCGCGGCAGAGGCCTGACGTGGCGGCGACCATCACCGCTGACCGCTGACGTGGAAAGGCTCGCCGCCACCACCGATCTTAACGCAGCGATGCAGCCCCGATCCGTGGCGCGGCGAGCCGGATATAACCACCGCCGCCCTCTTGCCCGAGCGATCGGCGTTCATGAGAAACGCAAAGAAAGCGTGCCGCCGTGCCTGCCCGGCGCCGAGGACGTCGTCCGCCATGCGCCGCGTCATCGCCACGCCAGCCCCATACGCCCGCCAAAGCCGCCAGCGTTTGCCATGCGATGGCGAGCCGCGCCAACCAGACACAACCAGCCGCCGCCGCCTGTCAGCCACAGCACCAAGCGCGCGCCTCCCCCTCCGGCCAGAACCTCCGGTCACGCAGGGCGGCTGCCCGCCTAGGGCTGCGCCCGCGCCTCTCGGCCTGGTCTTGCGCGCTGCAGCGAGGTACTCCGCTAATATAGTTAGCACAGTTAATAAAGTTAGTAAAATTATCAAAGTATAGTTAGTATAGTTAGTAAAGTTAGTTAGTTTAGTTAGTATATGTAGTAAAGTAAGGTAGTTTAGTTAGTACAATTATTTACTCTAGTTGTACATTGGATTTAGTATTTGATTAGTTAGTATAGTTATTGTTAAAAATGTAATAATGTTAGTATGGACATTACGTACGATGATTTCGACGACTTGATGAAGTTTTTTGAAATGCTTTTGCAGATGGATTGTTGTGTTAGAGTTTTGTTCGGAGGAAGTGTTAGGAGAGAAGATGGTATGTTTAAGGATATGGAAGAAGAATTGGAATGGTTTGATGAGCCTCCTAGCTTCAACGACCTTTGTGTCCGTTTGAATACAAAGTTGGGGGTGATTTCACACTGAAGAAGAGGTTTGATACTGGGAAGACTAGGGAACACTATGTCCTCATGCCCTTGCGCGACCCTGCTCACTGGTCCCGCTACACTAGGGTTCTCTAAGGTTCCAATGTGTCCATGGCTGAGGTGGCCGTGAAGAATGGGTACAAGATGCATGGTGTGCAGGATGGCCCGTCCATTGATGGTTTTGGAGGCAATAAACAAGAATTAGGTGTCGAAGGAGAAGCAACTCAGGATAACATGGATTTGGACGGTCAGTTGATGCAGGAGCAGTTTCATTCAACTGCAGTAGGCTGTATAAGCAATGACTTTGATGTGAATGAGTTCGAACGGGAAGAGCAGGAGCAGGAGGAGGAGGACAGGATCGGTGATGTAGTTAGCAGTGATTCAGACGATTCTGATGATGACCAAAGAGGTATAGATGATGTGGCAACACCGGCTGATGCCATGCTAGTACCGGTTCATACTATGCCATTACCAGTACCAACTAAGGTTTTGCATGGTGTCCATGTTCATGGTAGACTAGTCACAGATTTGGCTGCAGATGATAACCCCTATGATTCATGGGCCAGAATTAGCGAAGCGCAGCAGTATGTTCGACCACCACCTTACACAGCGACTGAGCTTGAGCAACTAAGGTCCAAGAACGTACCTTTCAGGGGCGTTTCGAACTATAGGGATGTCAGCATGACGTATATGGCAGTTTGTGATACCGGTCTCCAGCTGTGTAGGAATTCATTGTATAATTATGAGAAAGAACCCCTTAGAAAGGGGATGATATTCAACACATTGTCAGAGATGAAACTCTTCCTTTAGGACTATGCTGTGTACCACCATAGACCGTACACAGTCACTCATTCAGACCAGGAGTTGAGGTACAACTTGATATGCAAAAACGGTTGTCTGTGGAGGTTAAATGCACGAAGGAGACAGAGTGATGGCAAGTGGAGGATAACTAAAGTTGTTGAACCCCACACTTGCCTAGACAATAGGGGGAAGGAAAATCATCAGCAGCTCACTGCACATTACCTTGCCCATCGTATATTGGGGCTCATTGATGACAATAACGACATCTCGATGTCTTCTTTACAATAGTCCATATCTAGATTCGTTAGGTACGATGCGTCGTACAGAAAGGCTTGGCGTGCTAAGCAAATCGCTCTCGCGATTCGATGGGGTACTTGGGATAAAGCGTACAACAGGGTGCCCCGCATCTTATGTGCAATGCATTATTACAACCCTGGCTTGAAATGGTTTGTAGAAACCGGAGGGATGTATTTTCGGAACCCATTGAGGCATGTCCTCTATCGTGTGTTCTGGTCGTTTGCGCAAACAGAACATGCATTCCAGTTTTGTCGGCCAGTCGTACTTGTTGATGGCACTTTCCTG